GGGCCCCCCAGCCGCCGCGAGCCCTTGATCCCGTTCTCCAGCGCCTCCAGGGCCTCGCTGTGCTTCCACAGGTGGGCCGCCAGGTGCTGCGGGCGACAGAGAGGGCAGGGGTGTGTGTGTGTGTGTGGAGGGGGCCGTTCCCCGGACCTGCCACGGGTAAGTTCCACCCAGGTCGACTTGAAGGAATGAAGTGCGCCACCCTCACTTTCATCCCTTGGTTTAGGTTCCTTAAACTTCATCTTTCTCAATTAAAACTTGTTCATTTTTAAAAATTTCAACAGCTTTGAGGGATACACAGTTTTCGATCTGGGTGGTAAGTATACGCGCCACCCCCACCTGTGTACACTGTACCCGATGGGTGATTTTTCATCCCTCCCCCTTCCCCCTCCTCCTCTGGGTCTCCAGTGTCGTCAACACCATTCTCTACGTCTTTGCAGATCCTTCGTTCAGCTTCCACGGAGAAGTGGGAACATGTGATGTCTGGTTTTCTGTTCAAATTTTACTATTTACTTTGCTTTTTAAGCTAAGTTCTCAGGATGCAATAAAAAGGTCTAGCAAGGAACTGGGCTGTTGAAAACACATATGGATTATAAAATATATGAGCTGTATACAACACGAGAGAGAGGCGTGGTCTTTTACAGTTGGGACTGGCAAAATGGAGGGAAAACATATGAGCAGGAGTACCTCAAGGGGGGCCCCAAGGCTTTTTTCTAAGTGTCCTCAGATGACACAGAGACCAGGACCATTCAATAGGCGTTAAGTGTTATTAAAAATACGTCCCCAACTGCTTTACAGACACAGTCCCTACTCTCCCCGGCCATGGTGGAGACAGAGACAGAGGCTGCAGTATGATGGCAGGGCATGGAAGGAGGAATGAATTCCCTTGGGCCAGAGGGAAGGGATTTTAAGGAAAGGAAACTTCCAGACAGATAACAAGGAAGTAGCAGGGGACACCCCAGGACACGAGAGCAGAAGTTATCTTTTTTTTTTTTTTTTTTTTTTTTTTTTGGTCAGGGTCTCACTCTATCACCAGGCTGGAGTGCAGTGGCAGGATCATGGCCCACTGCAGCCTCGACCTCCTGGGCTCAAGCAATCCTCCTGCCTCAGCCTCCCAAGTAGCTGGGACTACAGGTTTGCACCACCATGCCCGGCTTACTTAAAAAAATTTTTTTGTAGTGACAAGGCCTCACTATGCTGCCTAGGCTAGTCTTAAATTCCTGGGCCCAAGCGATTCTCCCATCTTGACCTCCCAAAGTGCTGGGATTACAGGCATGAGCCACCACACTAGGTACTGTCTTCAAGTCTCACTGGGTAATGACTTCCCAGGGTGGGCTTGCTCTCGTATGCTGGTAACTCCCAAAGGAGGATTCCGAATCCAGATGACTGTCCAGTCTCAACAATATCTCCACTCCATGCTCTGGAGAGAGCTGGGAACATGGTGTGTCCAAACTCAAGCCTACTACCTTCTGCTCCATCTGGGGCCAAAGCATTTATTCTCTAACTTCAGGATCGAAGCTACCATCAGCCAGTTACTCAGGACAGAAAAATAGAGGGAACATTCCAGATTCTTTCTTTCTTGGAACACTTCCCCAAGTCCTATCCGGTCACCCTCCTGAAAACATCCTGGAAACCTTTTTGCTTCCCTGCAGTCGCTTCCCTGGTTCCAGCCTGTATAGACCATCCACCGCTGTGATGGTGTCTCCATCCCTCCATGTTACTGTGACTTGGCCCACCAAAATGAACTTTCTAAAATGCTACTGAACAGGCAGCCTGAGGATGGGATCTTTCCCACTTCTCCAGCATAGACTCTTGGGACTCACCCTGGGCCACCCCCGCCTGCCTCGCACTCACATATGCCAGGTGCTCGCAGCCAGAGCCTCTGCCCACGATGTCCCCATGCATACCCAGGCGTAGGCCCTCTCAGCCCCAGGGTCTTCCCTGATCCCCACCCCTCTGTCCTCCTGCACTAAAAGCTACGTCTGTCCCTATTAGCCCTTCTCACACAGCCTCCCCTGCCAGGTTTATTTTCTGACTTTCCATTCTGAAACAGAGATGCACAGGAAGGTGTCAGAAACATACAGTGAGGGACTGTGCACCCCCCACCCAGGTTCTACTAATGGGGACATCTTGAACAGCTAGTGTCACATCAACACCAGGGGAGTGGCAGTGGCACTATCCATGGAGCTCATGTGCAGTACACCAGCTATATTACCCCTTGCTCATGTGTGTGTTTGTGCCCACTTGTGCACATGTATGCATGTGTGTGCGTGTATGTGTAGCTCTGTGCAACACTATCACACACACAGTCCCCTATCTGATTGTGAGAGGGGCCATTGTCATGTTGCTACCACCTTGGGGTCTGGCATGCAGTAGGTGCCCATTACATGTCCTGCCTGCATGTATTCATGACATGTGAGGCAAGGTATGCACTCAAGTCAAGGCTGAGGACTGGAAGAACACCTGAGTTCATGGTGGCCAGAATGCAGAGTGACGGGCGGCAAGAAGGGGCCTGGCGAGGTCGCCTGGGACTAGAGTGGGCAGCCTGCTTCATCAGGGGTAGAGTGTGGACTCGACCCTCCCGTCCAGGGAAAGCGGGGCTTGGAGCAGTCAGTTCTGTGTTGTACTAGCAGTGAGTGCTCTGGGCAGCCCACACACAGTGGGCTAGGAGGATGGGCTGAGGGGAGGTGTGGTGCCTTGTCAGGAAGCTGGCCTGGCCATCCCCAGGGAGAAAACAGACAGCCAAGAGGAGCAGAGTGGCGGGGGTGTCAGAAGCAGAGGGACCAGGCGTGGAAGCTTGGGAGGCGGACACTCCAGGAGAGCAGGGAAGGCACCGGGGCCCCTGGTGCTTTTGTGCATCTGGGTGGATGTGTCTGGGTGGAAGATCCCGATTTGGGGATCTCTGACCTTCAGGTGGGGGTTGAAGCCTGGACCAGGCTCCCCCGCTCATGTGACCTTGCTCCTATGTACAGAGTCTGGAAACAGCCAACCAGGCCAAAGACTAATGACAGCAGGCCCTGCTTACACCTGTCAACGTAGGTAACTGCATAGGTGGGGGTTGGGGCAGAAGGACACTCTATGCCAGAAACCCTGTTAGACAACAGTGCTAACCTGGGCCTCTACATTTCTAGAACTTTCTGCTGTTCCCCTCCATGCTTTATAAATATCCTTTAAAACCAATGATAATGACCACAATAAAAAACAACCCAACTTATTTCTCAAAAAGGCTTCTGGTGGTTCTCACAGCTTCTCCATCTATTTTTATTTTATTCCATGTTGTACACGGTCATGGCATCCGCACATTGCCAAGATGCCAGCACAGCCGAGGAAGCGGCTGAAGGTAGAAATGCCAGCTTGCCAGACCCAGAAGAAAGGACACTAGGAACGGAAATCGGATCTATTTTTAGGAGGTCTTTGGTGCTGGGTTAGCGGAGAGGGCTGAATGTCAGCCTCCATGGACCTAGGTCAGAGAAGGGCACCAAAGAAAGCCAGCAAACAGAGACTATTTCACACTGTCCCTGAAGGCCCGGGGCAGAGTCCAAGCCTCTGGCAGCCTTCTCCCAGGCAGCCTTCTCCCAGGCAGGCTTATGATCTCACACAAGGGGACACGGTGAGAAAAGGTGAGAATCCAGAATGGCCCAAGAAAAAGCACAGGGCTAGGTAATAGGTGGAACACAGGGAGTTCTGGAGCAGTGATGCTGTCCTGTGGACCCAGGTCATTACACATTTGTTCATTACACATTTGTCCACAGCCACGGAATGTCCAGCACCAGGAGTGGGCCCTCACATAAATGGTGAGCTTCAGCTAATACTTGTGTCAGCATTGGCTTATCAGTGTTAACACCCTTACCCACCAGCGCACGCATGATGCCAGGAGCAAACTGTGTGTGCTGGGGGAGGGGAAGACAGGAGAACTCCCCTTTGTGCTCAATTTTTCTGGAAAGCTAAAACTGCTCTAAAAAAATAAGATATACTCATTTCGCAAACCACCATGGAAGGCAGAGACAACATCTGCTATTGTCACACCAAGCCTGGATATCAACCTTAGCTTGTATCTTGGTGGGGCACCCGCTAGGTCATTCTTGCTTTTCTTTCTCGCATAGGATTCTACAGTTACTTCCTTGGCCTCTGACATTGCCCGGAATTGCAAAGTGTCACTTTTGGAACCCGATGAACAATAACTCAGGATCTGGTAAATAATATCTTAATCTTTGTTAAGAGAGAGAGACTGACAGGACGCCCCTCTCGAGTAGCATTTGATCCCGTCTCTTCTGTGCCACTGGCCCCACCATATGGAGGCATATGAGATACTTCCGTCTAAGGGGAAAAAAATTAAACGCTAAACCATTGTAGCCAGATTTGCGGGAAGGAATTCAAACCTCAGCAGTCACTGTATTCTATAAGTGCCTCCTAGGCCGTAGGTGATCAGTTAGTACCAAATAGATAGATGGATGGATGGATGGATGGATGGGCTGATATGGGGGCAGAATGAGCCCCTACCTGCCTGAGGGGCTTACTAGCTTGCTCTGGGCAGTCATCAGTTAGTACGGTTATCAGACAGGTTCTGTATCTGGGCAAATGAGATACAGGAAGATTGCTTTAAAATACGAACATAGATGTATTCAAAAGGTAAACTGTATGTATTAACATATTCTATATTAAAGGAATTATTAGTGGATTAAAATGAAAAATTGTAAAAATGAAAATTTCTGATATAAGCAATGGGACACATTTTTAAAATGTGGTAGAGTATTGGCTTGATACTCACTGACTTAATTGGGTAGGTATTGCTAGATGGTTACAAATATATTTGCCTTGTATGCTGATTTAAAGTAATAGAATTTACTTGAATTCTTACATAGCTCTGAATCCAGTATTTTTGTCATGCTTAGAAAAAGCCGAAATGATTGACTGAACATGAAATGTTCAGTCAACCAAACAATGTTATGTCTACAGCTTAAAAAAAAGTGCTGAATGATTTGTCCATGTTGTTTTGGATACATTGCAGAGCTTTGGAAACAAAACAACTCAAAGTGCTTGCCCCAGAGTGACTGGATTTTTCTTAATGTTTTGAAAAAAAAAATTATCTAGGAAGGCCGGAGGGATCTTTTGCCAAAAACGCTTATCCTCTGATGCTCTGCATTGAGTGTGGACAGTCAAATGCGGCCACACGTGCAGACGGGTAGGGCTTGCAGCCAATGCTGTCCCCCTGCCTGCCCCCAACAGCCCAAGGATCACCTCAGGTGAACCTGCCCCACCCAAACCTCAAGCAGCTCACCTTCATGCCCTGAACGTTCTTCAGCATCACGTCCCCGATTCTTTGGTGATCTCCTCTGATGTGGGCATTGGAGCGGCCTTCCCTGGGGCAGAGGGTTGGAAATGCAAAGCGTTAACAGTGACAAGTGGCCAGAGGATGCCGAGCCGGGACCACAAGCATCAACCCACAACTTCCTTTCCAGTCACTTTTTTTGCACTGGTGCTGGGCTTCCAGTTGGAGGTGGGAGGTATTCAAAGTGGACTGAAACAGTCAATCACCCAGGTCAGGAGGGCCGTGGTTACATGCACCCCCCAGGTGTGGGGCTGAGAACCCTCCAGTCACGAGAGAAATGGCTTTCAGAGGAGCATTCGGACCTGCCTGACTGTTGACTCAATCTCTGATTTGTCAAGGATCTTCAGACGAACAGAGGAGGGCCAGGACGATGCACTCGCTTAATTAAGCAAACCTGGGAGGCAGCAAAGTCATCGCGAGTAGAAACAGGTTGCTCTTGGGTCTGCATTCCAGGCAATAAGATACACTATTTATCCTACTGGTTCCAAATAAGTATCTAATGTAAATCACATATGGGGAGACTGAGAGCACCCAGACCTTTCAGATAACTCATGCTTGTACAAAATGGAAGAAGAGACAGCACTCCTCAGCCTCCCAGCCCTTTTCTGGGTCTCCTGTTGCTGTTCCGTGGGCTGTCAGTCTTCATCCTGTTCTGTTCTCTTCCACTGGGATGGCATCATCAGCACTGCTCCTCTTCTAATTAAAATCTGGGTTCTATCCTGGCCCCGAAACGGTCTGGGAAGGTTGCTGTTAAGTCTCTGAATTGCTTGAGCCAATCTCTCTTCTTCCTATCGAGTCTCCGCAGGCAAATCGCCCCAACATGTGGCCCTCATCAGCTTCAGGAAGCCTTTCTTGCTAGACGCTCTCAGTTCTCTTCAGGTCAACCTTCCATTCCTGTGGCCAACTCCTTCAGACCATCCCCAAGACACCTGTGTTCTTTGGAAATCCATTGGTGGTCACCTTCTCTGTCCACCCTCTATGTCTCCCTGTATAATCCCTTCTGTTCACCATGGTTTCCATGCTGCCAAATCATGACTGACCAAGGTATTGTATGTCTCAGACCTTTCAGAGGGTTCCACAAGAGTGACCCCACAGGTGTCTCAAACTCAAGAAGCTCAAGACTTCAAGATCTTGTTTCCAAAACCCCATCCTCTTTTGCCATCTTATTTCTTAATGATATCACTGTCCCTTCCCAAGCTAGAAACTTCCGTTAACTTCCAGTGTCCCTCTCCCTCAATGAAGCAAAATGGGGTCACCGGGGATTGCACCAACATGTGACGTAGACCCAGGCTCTCCTTTGGAGACATTCAGCTCATTGATAATCACTGCATGTCATCTCGTCCCGTCAACTGCAGGGTTGAGGTGTCTTGAGCTTTTTGGCAAATGGTGATCAATCAAATCATTACCAAGCAGTTGATCATTTGGCCGTTTTGCTGATGCTTAATGTGACTGGGCTTTGCCTGTCACTTACTGGTGGCTCTTCCACTCACACAGCAGAAAGGGAATAAGCCGAAGGGCGCTCTCCTGAAACGGACGACTTCTGCCACTCAGAAGCACCTGCCTCACCTGTACCTTCAATATCACATGAGCTCTTGGAAGAGCTGGAAGGTTCTCCTCCCCCTCCCCACTGCTTTCCACACCTGAACAAAGCGGCTCCTCTCTTCCAAGAAGGACCCAGCCACTAAGCCAGAATGACCTGATTTTCACTAAACAACTAACTCATAACAGGAGGCAAGATCCAATTTAAACCTGACTTGTGGGCATGTGGTACCTATTATCTGGAACTTAAACAACTGGCCCCAGAATCTTCAAATGGGCACACCGTTTAAATGGGCACAACGTTTGACAACGCACCTAGGAAAGCTCTCGAGTATAAAGGACACCACGTAGGTTTTTTCATGAAAGTCTGGGTTGGGTGGGCAGGGGAGGACACTGGGTGGATTTCTGGCTTCCGTCAGTAACAAGCGACCTCCTCTCTCTCATGGGCAACACCCTGACCAAGATGAAATGAAGGGATGGAAAGGGGGCCCTGGGGAGGGCGACAAGAAACTGGTACGGAAGCCAAGCGGCATGTATTTTGCTTCCTCTGTTGTTTTGTCAACTACTTATTAAAAGAAAATCTACTGACATTAAAACCCCAACTCAAGGGGCCATTCTTGACTGCAATCGGCTTGCTATCAGTGCTGTAGCTGCTTCTCTAAGTCTCCAGCCTCTTTCATCTTAGAAATGGATCTGGGCGGTGGCATCAGTCCCCTACGTGGGTACCCCTAAATTTAAAGGGGTCAGCACTGGGTGTTGCAGTGAGTACAGGATGGGAGGCCCTGAAGTCAGTGCCAACAGGACAGGCACATCTGTCCCTCCCCCACTGTCCCATCCACATCCCAGCTCACACGGCAAATCCCAGCCCTACTTGGGTCTAAACACGCTGGGGAAAACACTCAAACTCCCACTGCCCACGTAGAAACACCTTCATGTTTTTACTTCCTTTATGTGGCATGGCCACCAAATCCACAAGTCCAAAGTGTTCACATTATTATGAACAGCGAAAAGGTCGTTTTATTATCAAGAACATGAAACAGTAATTAGAACTCTTCCATAACTTCCTCCGCATGTTAGCCTCCCGAGAAAGGGGTCCTTGTCTGGAAGGCAGGGCCGCATATTTGGTATCCGGGTAATTGCCACACAGCCACTTCGACGAAAAACCTTTTGACGATATCACTTAGGAATACCGTGTAGTCTTCTAAGAAGCTGCCCAGACGCTAAATCCTGACCTGTACAGCATAATTAATTTACTCATCTCGGCAAAGAACTGAACATACACCCTCCCACCCCAGGCATATACACCATGGACTTGATCGATTCTTCCTGACCTTGGCGAAAAACAACTCTCACCACAATGTAGCTAACTGGTAATTCAGCAGTGGACTGATAGAGAGAAGAAAAGGACACAAAAATGACCACCGCTCCGTGGGTGGGTCACTGACCAACAGCAGGACTGTCTACAAGGGTGGGCCTTGTCCCATCACCCCTTCAGAGCAGGCAGAAAGTGGTCTCACACTGTGGCTTTTGTCTCTGACGGCCAAGAAACACTTTGGCAGGCTGTAATTACAGGTGGGGCAAAGCTAGCCAATCACAACCCTAACTGCAACATCACGTCCATTTAGACCTCCAAAAGAAACAGTTCCCAGTGTGCTGATGGCCTCACTGGCAATGCACTCTTCCAGTTCTCCCGAAGGTATCATGATCCTGGGGAGGAGGTAGCCTCCTTGGGGGGGGGGGACACATGTATTCTGGAATGCATAACATTTGGCCTTGCTTTTCTTTTTGTGAGTCAGGGTCTCTCTGTCGCTCATGCTGGAGTGCAGTGGCACGATCATAATTTACTGCAGCCTTGACCTCCTGGGCTCAAGCTCCTCTCTTAGCCTCCCAAGTAGCTGGGACTACAGGCTCATGCCACCATGCCTGCCTAATTTTAAAATAAAAATTTTTTTGTAGAGATAGGGATCTTGCTCTATTGCCCAGGCTGGTCTTGAACTCCTAGGCTTAAGCCATCCTCTTGCCTCAGTCTCCCAAAGTGCTAGAATTACAGGCATGAGTCACTGTATCTGGCCCAAATCTTATGTTGATATATAATGTAGGGAGGGTGACTGGGTCCAAAAAGAAAACAAATTAGCCAAAGTAATAAAGTATATTAACAGATTATATATACTATATATATATGGTATTATCTGCACGTGATATATATGATTTCAATATCCTTTGAAATCCACAGAGTACATTTTAACATTAATTCACATGCCCACTTACAGAGAAGACATCTGTGCAAGAGATGTCCTCACCGGGGTAGGGGTATGGTGTGGCATTTCCCTTGGGAGCTGCAGGTGACACAGAAGACAGAAATCTGCCATTCTCAGCCACTGTGGGTCAGTTATACTCTTAGGCTGCTCAAAACTACGACTTCTTTTCTTCTGAGGCTCAGCATCAGGTCAAGTTGATTAAGAGAAGCAAAAGTGACAGCCCAGTCATAGGCAGGTCGACTGTGCCCAGGTAGGACCCTGGTGTCATTACCGGCTCACTCCTGTTGTCAGCAGGGCACATAACAATGCAGTGGAAGAGAAGAGCCATGTCAAATCCGCCCTGCGACCTCCCTCAAGGTCCTCTGTCAAGTGTCTTCCAGTAGAAACCCACCTGCAATCTTGGTGACTGAAGAAATCGTTTTTGTTTGTCTAAGGAATGCAGCTGGCTCTCAGAGCACTATGGAGTGGCTCTACAGTCGGGAATATGGCAGAAAATCCAGAAAAAAAAAACTAGCTCTGGATTATGCCTGAGAATATGCAGTTGTGCTAATAGTTTAAAAGGAAACAATCGCCAACAACCATCATCCCTGTCATCCAGACAGGAAGCAAGTAGCCTGCTCAGGGCAGAAAATAATCGGAAGGCCACACACAGTGTCCCTAAAGTGTCTTCAAAACAAACAACCCAACAGGACGTTTTGAGTTTTAGATAAGTTTATACAATAAATATATAAGTGATTCCCCCTCCTAGCATTCCCATAATATATATCTTGTCTTCACTCCCTTCCAATTTCTATTTTGTATTTTCTCAGGCTAGACTACACAGCTTCGTGTGTTGCTGTATTTTCTTTAATCATTACTACTTTTACTATTACTATTTTGAGCTGGAGTCTCACTCTGTTGCCAAGGCTGGAGTGCAGTGGCATGCTCACGGCCTACCGCAGACTTGACCTCCTGGGCTCAGGGGATCCTCTGCCTCAGCCTCCCAAGTACCTGTGACAATAGGTGTACACCACCACACTGGCTTCTTTTTAAAAAATTTTTTGTAGAGATGAGGTCTTGCGATGATGTCCAGGTTGGCCTTGAACTCCCGGGCTCAAGTGATCCTCCTGCCTTGGCCTCCCAAAGGGCTGGGATTACAGGCATGAGCCACTGCATATGGCCATGTTTTCTTTTACAGCCATGATTTTAAACCCTTTTGTACAGTCTTGGTTTTTTTTTTTTTAAACAGTGAAAA